CCTGAAACACCTTCATCAGATCCACCTTGATCACCTCCCAGCACTTTTTATAGAAGATGTTTGTGAGTCCATTTGGCCCTGGGATTTGTCCATTTCCAAGTTTTTTATCACATGCCACACCTCTTCCTCAATGAAAGGGGCTTCTAGATCTCTTTGTTGGGCCTCTGAATTCCTCTTCAACTCCAAGTTAATAGGGAGGGGTCTCCTCTTCCACCTCTCCTTGAACAGATTGGAAAAGTATTGGGTTGCTATGCTTTTCAAATCAGTCCAAGTGTCACCCACCTGGCCATCAAGCTCCAATCTTTCTATTTGATTCACCCTTCTTCTAGCATTTGCCATCCTGTGAAAAAAGCCAGAGTTTTTGTCACCTACTTTCAACCAATTTACTTTTGCTCTTTGTCTCCATTCTAGTCCATCCCTATAGGYTAGCTTATCTAGAATCAGCTTAGCTTCCAGCCTCTTTTTCCTCTCTTCTTCTGAAATAGAACCAACCTCTTCGGCCAAGTCACTTTCTTTAATTAAATTCAGACAGTTCCTTTTTTCTAATTCTGGCTGTTCTTTAAAACCTTGCTTCCAAGATTTTATGAAATCTTTGAACAAACTAAGTTTCTTATCAAGGATATGAGAGCTAGAACCCAGAAAATCAGATTCTGACCACACTGAAGATAACAACGGTCCCAGGCTGTCTTCATCAAGCCAGGCATTCTCCATTTTGAATGGGCATTTTCTTGATTCCTGCATCCCACACAAGAGCTGAATAGGGGCACGATCTGAAACAGGTATTGGGAGAATGACCTGCTTCACTTGTTGGAAGGCTTCTTCCCAATGCCTAAGGGCCCTGGGTTGCCTTGGTTGCTACCATCAAAGTTCAGCTTTACAACCCCTTCTAGAGGGGGTGACCACCTTATTTGTGTCGTAATCTTCTTAGAGACTACAGAAACCACCATTACCCAACCCCTCCAAAAAATGGTCCTTGTTAAAATACTCTCCTTAACTTCCTCAAGACTCCTTTCTTTTCCTTAGAATATTCTGGCATTCCATTCTTCCCAAATAGTCCATACCGTAGCTGCTCTTATGCATTTCTACATCAGTTTTTCTCTCTTCGTTGGCCACCGAAAAGTTAACGGATCAAAGAGTATTTTTACTTCAGAAAGCAAGTTCCACCTACACCCAAGTAAAGAGAAGGCTCAAGTTCAAATATCTGCAGCAAGAAAACAAGATAGTAGCAAATGGTAACAGTCCTCATTTTGCACTTTACACATTGGGCACCAGTTTGGGAATATACACAAATAAGGTCTCTTCTTTTGCAGGTTATCCAAAGTATCAATCTTCCCATGATAAATCTCCCAACAAAAGGGAGCTATTGTGGTGGGGTAGGCCTAGACCAAATTTCTTTCACCGGGAAAACCCAATGAGAAGAAAAAAAGCAAAGGAACTTAAAAAAAGAAGCACAAATAAAGGATTCATTCGATACCATGATCCAAATTCTTTTATCTGGATTGAGGGGATCCAAGCAAGCAGAATCCAACAATAATAAAAGCTTAGAGACACAAGCAAATTCCTCATCATTTAGGCCTCTATGGAACCTGAGATCCCAGGCAAGAGACAAAGGGAGAGCTTGGGGATGAAGAAACCTCGAAACAAGCTCCTTCTTAAAGAGGGAGATAGAATAAAGAGAGGGAAAAAGATCTTTTAGAGGTTGATTACCCACCCAAACATCTTCCCAAAAAATAACAGAGTTACTTGAGCAAACATCATACCTTACAAACTTGAGGAATTTAGGGAGAATGCTAGAAATTGCTTTCCAAGGAGTAATGAGTCGAGCCCGTTGAGATATCCCAGCATCCCATCCAGTTTCAGAGAAGCCATGGACACTAGCCACCAGTTCATGCCAAGCCTCTCTCTTTCCACAGGCCACCTCCAGAGCCATTTGCCTAAAAGAGCTTCTTTCTGTTAACTAATTTCCCTAATCCTAATCCCCCTTCTTCCTTACAACAGAGATGGATTGGGATATCAGCTAATAGCATGGCTGATAGACTGGATAAACAAGGGATTCAAAGACAAACTATGTTCTGGGCTGGTTTGTAATTAGTGGGATATTTCTTTTGGGCTTCTTTTCTGCCCACAACTTCTTGTTGTATATGCTTCTTTAATCCAGTGAATAAGTTCTGGGTTGCTGATCAAAAAAAAAAACCTCAAAAAGCCATTTCCTTTTATCCTTCCCTACTCCAGTTGTCTTTAAGTCATATAGAATCTGAAGCAAGCTGATTAAAGAAGCCACCTCCCAGTCATTTAAGTTCCTCCTGAATTGAGGGTTCCAAATACAATGTCCATTTTGCCTTTCCAAACAATCAGCCACTGTTGCATTCTTGTTTATGGCAATTTCAAATAGATCAGGGAATAAGGTCATCAGAGGACCCTCCCCACACCAGTTGTCCTTCCAAATAAACACCCTCTGACCATTGCCCACTTCATATATTATGCCCTTCAAAAATTGAGGCTGTATTTTCTGAATTGCCTTCCGATTTGAACACCCGTAGGAATACTTCTTCTGTTTCCCACTCCCTGCTGCTGGATCCATATTTTGCTAATGGCCTCCATAGGTTCTTTTGCACTTTCCCTGCCAATGGTGCCTGTGAATGTTCTTCTTTCTTTCTCATGTTTCTCTAGCATGTTCATATCTATTGATAAAAATAAAAAAGGCTAGATAGCACCAATTCTGCAAATAAGACCAAAAAGGAGTAAAAGTTCAATTTTCTTTTCATACTTCTCTGGTTAGTTAATTGACCAATTTAAAGGGCATCAGCAACCCCACTACAAAAATTTGAGATGGAATCTGAATACTTGAAGAGTAGAAATCTGCTGAATTAAAAAATATGAAAGAAAAGTAGTTTCTTGAAGAGAGAAGGAGAAGAAGAGAAGTTGAAAAGAAAAGAGAGCAATAATCTGGACACCCCCTTCACTTATTATTTATACTAAAAATAATAGAGCAGTACAAAGACAACTATGCCCTTATGGGGTGGCAAAACATAAAATAGCATATATAAGACTCGAAAACATAATAAAATTTGGACTCATATAACTACTGTGGTCCCCACCTCCTATCTAACAACTAACATAAAACATCTACTCAGAAAAACATCATAAAACTGATTAATCTTCAACAGGAAGAACCACACTAAGTATTCAGATGTGCAACTTTATCCTTTCTTTCTTTTTAGTTTCTCATGTTAATCGTGTTTTTCTTTATAGTTCCATAATGCTTCAACCTGACAGTACATGGCTTCCCCAGACACAATAAAGATCATGGGAGAGCGAACACATCTCAAAACTAAAAATACTCCAACAATCTTCCAACTCCTAGCTTCCCATTTAAAAGGAGTTGGCACACCTATGGTTCTGTAACAACACACAGGAACGATGCCAAATGGGGCCTTATATGACTTACCTTTCCTGCCTAGGACTGAGAAGCACGGTTGAGGTGCTTCAATTTCGAGTACACCTTCAAACTCCAATGCTATACAGTCTAAAATTTCTAGTGGAACATCTATCAAAACTAAGTTTGATTTTGTTGTCAGGAAGATCACTGCTCACAACCTCATATATAGACAGCTGACTTACTAAGATCCATCTTTTTTTTGGAGGATAACAATGAAAATTTTATTAAAATATAAAAAAAAAAAGTAAATCTCAACAAATGGTTGTCAAGTTGACAAACCACATACAGATCAGATCAAACTGAAAAAGAATCAAAGCTATATGGATTCAGCTCCAAAGTGCCCCAGAAATTCTCAATCAAATCAGATTCAAATTCCTCACTAACTCCCTCCTCCTCCCTTCCCTCAAACCCCTCACGTTCCAGCTAAGTATCCTCATCTTCTCCCCCTCCCCCTCGCTTTACCCAACCCCCAAAAATCACTCAATATCGTCCAGACTCTCCTCTTCTTCCCCTTCCCCGTCCCACCCCTTATTTTTCTCTCGAATTTCTTCCCTTCTCTTCTTCTCTTCTCTTCTCTTTTTCTCAAACTTAGCTATTTCGCAAAGCCTTCCCCTTCCCATCTCTAGGAAAGTAATCAAAAGAAAAGCCCCTGGAAATCGCAAAGATGAACACTGATCTGTCATTTATTTATCCTCCTTTCCAGGCCTCCTACTAACTACCGTCTATCTGTCTTCTAGCAGGGGTACGATGGAAAAATCTCATGATCTTAAACTCCTAACTTAGCACAAAAAAAAAGGCTTTTTATAGATACCTTTCAAAAGAAAATAGTTTATACCAGTGAATTTTTCCCAATCTAGCAATTTACTGTTTTGAGTTTTCTCTGCTGCTTAGATGACCATTATTGTTTTACCAAATAAAAAAATTAAAAAAAAAAAAAAGATGACCATTATTGCATAACCAATCTTTCTCATTTCCCCTTCCATTGAGGCAGTCAATTTCATTATATAAATATAATTCATTCACTGTGATTTCCATCTGACCAAACACCTTATTCCTCCAGAATATCGAGACCTTCGTGAACGGATTTGGACAGTAATTGAAAAAAGATTGCTACCAGGCATTCAAATGCACCTTATCTTCGGATTTAAAGCAGTGTCTTTAAATCTCTTTCCCACACAAAATGATAATAAAGTATCCCCCAGACAACACACTAATTTGTCTTTAAATCTGCAAGCTCTTCATAGACACCATCATTCAGTTCCCACCCAACCTCTAGCCAAGGAAACATTATCAAGTTTTTTTTTTTTGGAGGGAGGTGCCAAGGAATATCAATATCTCAATTGCTTAAGTCATCTTAATCAAAATTCTTATGTTTGCATCCTTGTGTTTAAGTTTGCGTCTTGCGCATGCATATCAACTATTGTATGCCGTTATCTATTAAGGTCTAAGGAAAGCAATTCTAGAAGATCGACAAGGGAACATATCTGAGTACAGGTCACAAATTATTGCATAAGACACGAACAATTTTCAAACAACTGGAGAAATAAAAAAGAGACATTGCCTGTTTGTAGCTACCACCATTGCCCGGGATGAAAAGCACGGGAACACCATTGAGCTTCTTTAGATGCTCCGTGTAATCAATCTTTTTCCATCCTTCATGGTACAAGAACAAGCCGTATTTTGCAGAGGAGACATTCTCTGGTGTAGAAATGGGAATATATGTAGGATACATGTATGTCATGATACAACCATTTGGAACGGGTTTTAATAGCCCGTACAGAGCAGCAAGACCAAGACATACCGAAAGAATAACCACGATTGCAACTCTACAATTAGCTTTAAAACCCTGCATTGTCGAATCCAACTTGCACCGCAGAGCTCTCGCTTAGCAAAAACGAGTATTTCCTCTTTAGTTTACTTGTCTTCAAATCAATAAGCGTATAACAGCAAATCCAGTACGATTTGGGAAAACGTCGAGATCATTGGACAGTAGAATTCCAAATACTAGATTGAATGACAAACCCCGTAAACGCTGAACAGCCTAATTTACAGATTCAAAGAACCAAATGAACGAACACCTCCAGCCCCGATTATTGAATTGAACATGGAACTTGAAAAATGAAATCTTCCTACAAGCAGTCGATGCACAGCCTACGTACGATCACATCTGGAACATTTACGGCAAAAATACACTGAACCTCGATCAAAATCCTCCTTAACCCAAGCTCTTTCAGAGTCGAGCAGCAGTTCCAAATCGACCAAATGGCCTCGGCCTCAAAGAAACTCTATCCTTCCCACCTACTTGACAATCAACAAAAATCTCTGCAAACCGTTGGCGGGATCTGAAGTTGAGCCGACTGTGTTACAAACTAATTTGACGGAGAATTTCAATTTTAGATCAAGCAAAAACGCTCGTTAGGATCCAACCAGCTTTATTTACGATGAAATCAATGGATCTCAAGCTCGTTCAGATGATGAGGGATACAGAACCGGTAGCCTATTGTTTTCGACATATAAAAAGGAGACAGAACGCTGAATCCCGGCAGAAACGAGAAGACCAGAAGTAATTAAGCGGTATTTGTCTTGTTTATTTTTATTCTTTCGTTTTTCCCTCTTAATTGGACCGGATGTGCACTGTATGATCCTACCATCAAAACGGAGATTTGATATTTCGGTATTTCCTCATCGAATAGGAGAGTTCCACACCTCCCACGGGTGGCCCACTTCTACAATTGAAGCCAGATCAAGACCCTCCGATGCGAGGACGCAGCAAAAAACCTTATTGATGAAAGACTTCTGCTTATGGATGTTAATGGATCGGGTTAAACAGTAATCCGGCTTAGGGTTACGCTTAGTTCAGGTGTAGGTGCAGGGTCGAATTAGGGTTTTGGTTCTTTAACCCGACTCTGGTTTGGGTTTAGCAGCTTTGGCTGATTGATTGACCTGCCCGGGAGGTCATGATACCTCGATATGTAAATATGATATTCTTTGTAATTTGAAATGGTTTCTCACTGTATAGCTTTTGTGCTTGGTTTGAAGGAAAAGGAGGGAAATATAAAAAAATATAGGAAAATTTATACATATTTTTTTACACTTTCCTTTTTTCACTGTATTTTTCTTTAAGGTCCCGTTTCCTTTTTGGTAAGTTACTTATCTGGGTAGATGCACTTACTCAGGTAAATCTTTATTATTTTCCATGCAAACAAGACAATGACCATTTTAGCCATAAAAATCTATTATTACAAGGGGCATTTTTGTTCCATTCAAGTATTGGCAACTTTCATCCTGGGTGGAAAAGTTATTTATCCATGTAGGAGATGGCTCGGCTTGGAAATAGCACAAACATATATATATTATACAAGGTTTTGCATTCTACAAATCTGTATTTGTGCTTTCTCAAATTAAGCCTAGAGTTTAAAAGTTTGTTTTTTTTCATAATTAATTTTGTTTCTTATTTTTTTGCTAGTAGTAACACCTCAAAACCCAAAACTTAAATCCAGATCTTTTAGACTTTCAAAATGTATCATGGGAAATTTTATGATGTCGGAAACACTTGTTTGGATAACATGTTTATACACTCGAAAGTGTTGAGCTCGGAGACGGGGGAAGAGTTTGACGTCGATTCAACCTTTATTTTGTGTTTGGTTTGAAGGAAAAAAATTATAGAAGTGAAGGAAAAGTTAGGAAAGCCTTTGCAAACCTTATATAGATTTCTCTATATTTGCCTTTTGTTCGCTACCTTTTCCTTCAAATCAAACATGGCATCAGGGTAAATCAAGTGGGAACATTGGAAGGTGGGGACAAAGTTGTGCTATACTTAACCTAGCCTGTTCACATTCCTAATTTTGACAACTTGCTATTGGTAGAGCACAATAGTACAGTACCACTAGTGAGGATTAACCAATTGAAGGTATATATATATATATATAGAGAGAGAGAGAGAGAGAGAGAGGCCATGGATGACCCAACTAGTCTCTGGAGACAATACGGGTGAGCAGCATTCCTCGAACGCCTACTGGGTAATCTCAAATATTGTATATTTGGAAAATGGTACATTGAGGCCCACTACACTACACAGCCCAATAAGTGTTGTTTGAGTTCATGTTGGTGCTCCACATGCATATCTCAGTGTGTATTAGGAACATCTCTCGTACTTGTCATTGGGAGATGATCTCAATTTATGATTGGGATATGCCATGGGGTGCAGACGTGAATTCAGAATAGGGGTTCTACTACGAGCCTAACGAGTTGCAACCCATAAAACGACACTAAGAGCATGGCAAGTGTTATGTATATTTTGCATGGTTCTTTATTTATTTTTTTCTTAAAATTTTGAGAGATGATTGAGTTGGGGTTATCCATGGGTCAATTCTATCTGGTTGATTGAATTGAATTGATTATATCAGTCTTGGTTATGTGATTTTGTCCCAATTAATTATTGGATTGGTCCAGGTTTTTACATGGAGCCACCCAACTGTTTTGTTAATAACATTATATTTTCATTTTTTTTATTTTATTATATATTTGTGACTAACGAGGTGAATCCATAAATAATATATAAGATAATTTTAGTTAAAAAACTTTTGATTTTTCAACATATAAACAATTTACTAATTTACTACCATTTTTATTACGACCATATTATCATAAATCATAATTTTAAGTTATTATTTAAATAAATACAGATGCAAGTATAATTGGGTCAATTAGATTAGACCTATTATTCTCTCTCTCTCTCTCTCTCTCTCTATATATATATATATATATATATATATATATCAAGATATTCCACGCCATCTTACTTCTCCTTGCTCCATTACCCCGACCTTTCATTCTCCCTACTCTCTCTTATTTCCCCCCATTCCCACCAATCCCAAATTTCCATCTCAACACCATTTCTCTTCATTCCACTTCCATCTCTAATTCCCATCTAATCTCTCCACTTTCCCATAAAAAGAGGGGCATGGTTTATTATCAAATAATATTTATATCTATAGATGTGATCTATAGCAAAGAGAGGAGAGTAAGGGAAATTCGATGTTTCCTATGAAATCTTCCATTACTGTTAAATAATCCATTAGTTATGAAAATTCTTAAAAAAATATGGAAAATATTTTACCAACAAATTATGAAACAATTATTTCAGAAACAATCCATTATTTAACAAATATTAAATAATTTAATAATCTACCAAAAATTAATAAATAATCCATTATTTAATAATGTTTGGTTATTAATAAATGTTCAAAATTTCAACATTTAGTGTAATTTAAATTATTCACTGTAATTTAATAAATTTTTACAATAGTAAATTATTGATAAACTATATTACTAATTAGCGCAATTTACTAATTTATATAAAATCAATAATTATAGTTAACAATTATCAAATAATTTAGGGAAGCTCTTTAACCAATAATTCATAATTATTTTGTAAACAAGTAATTAAAAAATAAGAAAGTAATCCATGAAAAAAATATCCAAAACTTTTTAAATAATGATCCATTATCGTTATTCAACTAAATAATTATTAAAAATCATAGGAAAATTAGATTCTAAATTTAATATATCAAAAATTGTTTCATAATTATTTAAATAACAATCCATTGTTATTACTTCAATAAATAATTATTAAATAATTTAGAAAAATTATTAAGTCTATCCACACTGATCTAGACTACTTGGTTGACTTTGATCATACCTGATTTTACTTTAATTAACAGTAAATGGTTTATTTTTAATTAAAATTAATGTAATTTACCATAATTACATTAATTTACTGTAATTACATTTACTTTGATTATTGGTAAATAATTTAGGCCTAAAAAGTAAGTAATTTATATTAATTTATTGTTACTGTAAATAATTAATTTACTATGCATTACTACTAACCAATAACCATCTCAATAAGTTTTTTTTGGAAGTTATCACAAAATGTTGTAATTTATTATTAGTTAATTAGTTATAGAAAATTATTAGAATTATATGGATGGTAATTTTTCCTATCAAATTGGGGCCTTATCCTGCCCCGCCCCGAACGGGCCGAATTTTCTCAAATCTTAAATGTAGACGGGGTAGAGAAGGGTAGGGGTTAACCAAACTGTGGGCTAATTTTTGAAACCAAACCGGGGTTACCGGTTTTCTGAAAACTGGTAATCAAAACTGAACCAAAGCCGATTGGTTAACCAGTTGACCGGTTTGATCAACCGTTGGTTTGATTCATTGGTTTTTTATTATTTACAATGTTTATTATAGAAAAATATATAAATATATAATAAAATACTATAAATACATATATACTTATATTTTAAATAATAAATAATTTATTATATATTAGAAATATATATTTATATAATGCATATTTATTAATTTATAATGTATAGGAAATATAATATAAATATATGTATACTAGCCAATTCGATTAACCACTGGTTTTATATTTTGATTAACTGAAGCTGAACCGACCAATTTGGTTAACTGAATTTTCGGTTCGATTTCAGTTAGTTTTTCAGTTTTATTTGCTCACCCCTATAAAAGGGGTGGGGATAGGGAATTTTTTTTTACCCCAAATTAGGGATGGGGTTTGCATATAATTCCCTGAACTCAATGGTACAATAGAAAATATATATAAATTTAATATTGATTTTTAAAATATCTATAAGTTTTCTTCGTATTCTTATAATCCTAGGATCCCATAATTTCATTTATAAAATACTCTCAAATTGACATAATCCGATTCCTAAAATATCCAAAAATTCTCATAATACTATATTGTAAAATATCCGTAAACTATATTGTTTTAGGCAATTGCCTTAGGGTGGGGAAAATTTGGGAATTCTCCATCCTTAACAAGGAATAGGTGTCTCGCCCTAAACCTACCTCACCACTAGGGTCGAGGTGGGGATGGAATAGAGTGTCTTGAGTCTTAACTTATGGGGACAAGGGACAAGGAGGGGTGCCCCATCCCATGCATCACATAGCCCCCGCTAATGAGAGTATAAGACATTACACATTGTTCCAAACCAACCATTGACAGCTCTAGCCATCGAGTTGTAATTATTTGAATACTATATATAACACAGTTAATATAAAAATAACGGTTAGATATTGTTCTATTTTTATCTTTAAAATTATTTTTCATATAGCTCACTTTCACCTTTTATTCGGATTGAATGGGTAGAATTATATGGGATCCGAATATTAAACGGGTACACCTTTTTGAAACTCCAAACTTGTCCAATTTATGTAAATAGCTCATTCAAAACTCATGTTATTAATTTTATTTTGGGGAAAAATATAACATATCCAACCCATTTAAATGAGCTCGGCTTCTATGAGGGTAGAGTTCAAGTGCGCACCGCTCGTGCAGCATCAGAACGTGCCACGCATCCTTGAAATGTGTGAGATGGATTAAACGCTTTAGCTCCTCATTTCTTTCATTCTACTTCCTGCTCCTCTCTCTCACCAGATTTATTTCACTCTCTTGCCACACACCCACACAGACCCAAACCCTTTTCGCTCTCACTCTCAAACCGGTGGCGACCAATAATTATCGCAAATGATTATTA